CCCTCCGTATTTTTAACTTCTGCCGCGCGACACTGGCGAATAAGTAAGTGCGCTATTTACATCAAATCTCGTGAGTTATCGCCGCCCACCTTTCTTTCCTCCCGGTAATACCACCGTCGGAGGAACTTTGTCGGAGGTAAATTCTTTGTGTAACCGTTACAAGATTCTGCGCAACAAAATGTCCTTTGGATGTTACTTGAGTTAAAGTCTTCTGCTGTTTTTTTCAATAACATCCTTGCACTTTTAATCCTTTCGATCAGGATAAGATAAAGCTCTCTTCCTAAAGAAATTCGTTCGCAGATCACCGTAATTTCTGAATCGTAACGAGTGAGACAAGAATCCATTCATTATCATATGACGTGTACGCTAACAATATCGTTAATTTCACAGATGTCCCGTTAGTTTCGCAAACTCTTCGTTCTTGTGCTATGATAAAGGAGATTAATGCAGCGGTCGGCCATATAGATTAGGAAGGATAGTGGCTCGTCTAGGCACTGATTAGGGACAGCCCAAGAGCACGATGCAGCCACATTACCCCAATGATCGATGCACCCCGTACGGCGACCTCATCTGCATCTGCCCCCGCGTGCACCGCAACGATGTTTCCTACCCTCCGCCGCCTACACCGCAGGGCCTCCGGGTCCATAGTGCGTCCCTATTCGCCTACAAATGCGTCGTCTCAGCGTCGAACACCGGTGCAATCATGTAGAGGACATATTACCCGTCAACGCGGTCGGAGCCGCTCGTTCGTTCAGGCAAATGATATGCCAAAGCGTAATCTCGCACGAGATCCTCGAGAGATTAGGTTCACCGATGTAGTAATGACGAATGGAGGGTCCGTGCTCGTGAGGATCACGCGTCAGGTGAAGCAAGAATTTTTGCGAGGGTGAAAATAAGCATCGGGATCTCTCGAAGAGTTTGCCCCGTGAAAAACTAGTTTATCATCTTGTTGACTCTATAAGAAAACGCGTATTATACGGCGATATGTGCTGGCGAAGTAAATTTTTCATGTGCGTCAACTGGTCAATGGACGGAGAGAGTTCTGATTAGAATTAAATTTAAATAATAATAAATTTAAGAAATGATTTATTTAGATCATCTATCCGCTACCTGTGTTATTGTTCTTACATATCGATTATTGCGAAGAATATTATTAAGGCCTCAGTAGTCTGAAGGCTTAGGGACAATAAAAGGAACAGAGAACAGAGAATAAGAATTTCAACCTATCAGAAATCATGTATTGTGGAATATACAGTTTCTGATAGGTTGAAATTTTTATTCTCTGTTCTCTGTTCCTTGTTCCTTTTATTGTGTGGAGCCCCATAGAACGCTTGTACGAAATACAAGAGATCCGACTCCTGGCCGAGGTAATATTTTTTTCGTAATAAATTTATTTACAGTTTTTTCAGTATATTAACATCTTTCTAAGAGAATGCCAGATTGAACATCAAATTATTAAATTGCTTATTAATTTAATTTGTGATATTACTATAATAGTTTGATTGCGTTTATAAGTTCGAAAATTATTTCGAAAATTATTTCAGCACGTAGTTCAAATAACTATATATTTAGTATATAAATTCACATAGAAATTATTTAAAAGCATCTAAGATCCAGCTTTGACTGTAATGGGCATTAAATTCTTACTTGTTGAATAATAAATTTATATAAACAATAAATTTATATATTATATATGTAACATATATATATATATATTTTTTTTATATAAATAAAATGTGACCTTTTGCTATATTTGATTAGTCGCAGAGGAAGAAAATTTCGTCAAAAGCCAACCATCAGAGTACGCAGCATTTTATTAAGATACCGCCAATAAAAAATTCAATAAATTACTCGTTAAAAATTTATGCAGCTTAGCATATGTGAAAATTCAACGCATGTCAAATTTACGTGTGTGGAGTATTCCATCACTTTACACACAGATCGCCGACCCTGCGAATAAGTGAATTCCTCTGTGTGTGTGTGTGTGTGTGTGTGTTCGGAAATTAAAAATTCTCAAAAGTTGCTAAAGCAAGGTTGCTCTAAGAGAGAAAAATAAAAAGCTTCTCACGTATGTCTTGGAAACCCGAGTAACTTTGTACGCTTCCGACTTCCCGCGCGAGTTCGTCGATATTCTCACGAATCGACGACCGAATCAACCGTGTTGCTGCTAGGAAGTTTCGTTTCGCCCGAGTGCGAATGTCGGTGTCGCATACACCGGTTGCGCAACGACACCGTTTGACAAGACACACACGTAAAGTTTTGCGATGTCGGGTATCTAGTGTCAGCGCGCGCAGGGCGGGGGAGGCGACGCAGGGGGCTGGAAAGAAAGAAAGAAAGAAAGAAAGAGAGAGAGAAAGAACTTCGCGAAAGAACGCACTCAAATGTAAACCGGACCCTTGTGAGATTCGCGACCCAGCGACGGTCCCACCGACGACGACGAGGACGATGCCTGACCGCACCTTCCGGGCGATCTTGTCCGATCCGTGCGGTTCGGAATGGAACCCAGTTTCTTTCTTCTCAGCATAATATTTAGCATGCCACTATATAATCTGGTTGTCTGTTCTGATGTAAAATAATTTTTTTTTTTTTTAATTTTTACATACCAACATTCTTTTTCTCTTTTCTTTTTGGTTCACACTTTGTGCATCACATACTTCACAATTTCAGCACAATACTTCACAATTTGATTAAATTCGACATACGTTATATATGAACGAAATGTATGCGAATTGATAAATATAAAGAATAGAGAGATGAGCTGTTCTATTTACGAGCGATAAATGTCGAATGGTTTGTACCATTCGAACTTTTAAGCGTCATAAACTGTAACTCATTTCCGGCGAATAAGTATCTATATTTCACGATACGTATCATGTCCGAGAATAAGTTCCCAAGGAACGCGTTGCACAGGAGAGCGAGTACGCCGCAGTTCATAAACCAGTGGTATACATCGCGCCCCACCTTCCATACTTTGACTTCCCCACCTATCGCTTGTAACGGGTAGATTGCAAAGCCCTTTTCTCCCTCGGCCACCTTTACCATCCCTCCGGGGGTCTGTGAGAGGTATCCACGGTATTTGTCTCCACGTAATCAGTCTCGTAATTAATCGCGGCGATGCATGCCGCGGGACGTCGCGCGATACGCTCCGAGAGCGTTAACCCTTTCAGTGCTAAGTTATTGTAACGTCATAATATAAATAGAATCGTATACCTACAGTTGTATACAAAACGTCGTGTTCAAGAAATCTTTATAACTAAGCCGAAATATGACAGTTTCTATTATCTTAATGTTTTAGTGAATTTGATCGTTGGTGATGACAAATTGATGACGAAAGATGTGGAAGAATAAATTGCGTATGTAAATAACAAAAGAAATAAAAAGTTGGAAATTTCAAGAAATAGATTCCTGTTGAAAGAGAGACAATCAAATAATTTCACGTAATATTGGCGGTATACCAGCCGATCAGCATTAATTTTTAAATATTTGGCTACATGGTTTCGTTTGGCTGCCATTGTTCTTTTCCAAACTGCGACGATAAACAAGTTTATAGCCATTCGATATCCTTGAATTGCTCTTTGCGTACAAGAAGATCGATAAAGTGAATAAATTATAGTGATATCACATAGAAAAAGAACTATAAATAAAAATAATCGAAACTATCGAGGATAAACGAAAGAGGGAAACTATCAGAAGAACGTCCATATAGTAAATGCTGAGAATACATGAAAGTCGTGCAAAATCCAAAGACCCAGATTGCTACAAAATTTGTTGCGAAATCGTTAACGACAAATCGACGAATGCGTTCTATTCATCCCTGTGTGTTTCGCGTTCTCCTATCCTTTCTCTTTTCTCCAATTTCTCTTTCATCGATCAGCGATCGAAACGCATGATCCATTCGGCAGAATGAAATGTCACACGCCGCAGTAGCGGCCGTATGGCTAGAGAAAAATCGGGGCGATGGTGGGTAACTTTTAAATAAATAAAATCGATAGGGCGCGACATCGTATCTGAGGGAGCTGAAGAGGTACGACCTCCTCCCTCCCTCCCTCTCTCTCTCTCTCTCTCTCTCTCCCGAAGAAGAGGGACACTCTCATGAATAAGCAGTGTTCACAGGGGTGTGCGCCGCGTGATTTCGCGCGGGACTGTTGGCGGTAGACTAGCCGGCGAGCGTTTATTTCGCGCTCGCCTTCGTCTCTCCTCCATCCCGAGATCCACCGTCCTCCGTCGCGGCCGCCCTGCCGCCTGTCCTCCTGCCTATCCACCCCGCACCCCGCACTCCGCACCCAACAACCGAGGGTCCCCATACTTGTTCCCGCCGCCGTCGCCGCGATGCCAATAACGAGGTTATCCCGCGCGACGCCGCCGCCGTTTCCGTAGAAACCCCTCGTCGCAGGGTGCTCTCCCACCAGGCAGTTACGGCGCGTCGACCAATCAGGCCCGGCTGGATGCTGATCGAGGGATGCAAAAGGCGGGGTCGAGCGCGGCGTGGGGATGAAAGCTCACCGCCGTGAGGCGGGGGTCGAAAAGCTGTCCGAAGTCACGTGTGTCCGTCGGCAGAAGCTACCTTCGTGCTCCTCGACGTCGTCGGCCCGGTTTTGCCGCGGCGGCACGGCTCGCGCCGCTTCCTCGGGGGCACAAAAACAACCGCGGCGGCTGATAACGATAACGAGCAACAGACGTGACCGAGACTTCTTCCCCCTTCTTTCCGGAGACCGCGAAGCCACGAAGGATTTCGCGCTTGGACGGAGAGCATTTGGCGCTTCGTTCGTCGCCAAGCTCGATGTCCCGCGCGTGTATCGGATTTGGACAACCATTCGGTTTTACTATCGTGCCTGTCTGTCACCTGTCAATGATGCCCGAGATGAATGTTGTGTCGGATGACGTGACACGTTCCGTGTAACGTTCTTTTGAGAAGCTCCATATCTCAGCGTGTTCAACGGACCGAATACAGTGATAAACGTTGACTATCTTCTGAGACGTTGGACATGTCAAATTCTCACCTTTATGTTGTGCGACACGCTCGAACGTTAACTTGGATCACTTGGATGCAGTGAGCTGGATTGGTGATTGTGACGAACGATAAGAGCAGTGCATGTCGTATGTGTGTATCATATCTCGAGTGCACATTATATACGAGTTTGTTGTTGATACTTTCATACTTTCCACTGCGACGTGAAAACGCACATTGCGAATAAGAACACTGTGTGCAATATTAGGAAGAATCGAGAATATTATACGTATAGGTACATAAAATGCGCGACATGAAACTCTCGCACGTGAGATCCGAACGAACACTGGATGTTTGACCGCTCACGTGGACGATGTGAATGGTATTCTGCGATATTTGTGAATGTGCGAGTTGTAGGTCAAATTTGATTTTTCCACAGTGCGACGAGGTGCGTGAGGCTTGATTCACGAAGATGAAGCGACGGCCGACCGGGTATCCGCACCCACCCGTCGTTCGGCACAAAGACGCTCCTGATGACAGTCATTGTATCGCCATAGATCGGTCCACCTCGTTCCCGTAAAAAAGAAACGAAAACCACTTCTGAAAATCTGTGAGAGAACTTCATCGGCGGTCAATAGGACCGCCGATTCTTCGGATGCATCTTATACATTATATATAAAATCTGCTCCGCTCTGGGAGAAACAGGCAGCTGGATTCCCGATGGCCGTCGGGCCCGGAAGTACCGCGATGGACCTCAGCACTACTTTGAGTAGTGCCTACCGATATAATCAGAACATGATGGAATATTACACTTGTAAGAGATATTCAACGTGTATTTTTTAAACCTCGCTAGTATAAATGTTTTTTTTTTATTTTCTTCTTTTCTTCTGCCGATAACACGCGAGAATAATCATCTGAGTCCGTAGATCTAATATTAGATATATTTCAAATTTAATCATAATATTAAAATGTATTACTATGGAAAGAACGATTCTAAAGTATCTAAAAATTTAACTAAATACAGATCCGAATATAATTTGGTTGGACATCAAAATAATTATGTAAGAATCTCAATGATGAGCAATGCTGCAAAAAATTTTGACATTCTGGCAATCGATTATTTGAACATTCTACATAATTATCTTGATAGTCCAAAACAAAATTATTTTCATATCTGTATCTAACTAAATTTTTAGGTATTTCAGCAAAACGTCTTTTCTGTGTATAATATTATTTCCAATTGCTGCTCGTTTGTCTTTAGTAATAACAACCGAGCAGCAATTTATTTTTTAAATTTGTCATCTCGGGAATTTAATATTGCTACCTTCAATATTATTAGATACCTCATTCAATTTTTCTTGATCACTATCTTGCTAGACTATTAATAATATTGATATATGTACATATGTATATATTTAATAATACCGGATATAAAATCGCCATGTTTCTATTTGTTCGTCAATTCTCAGCTCACTTTAATAAATATTTGCGGCGAGCCACAACGATAGTGGCACGATTTTAATAGATATCTAGATATAAATGGATCTAACCTTGCGATCGGAGACTTTTTCTTCATACGAGAAGTTTTTCCATTGCTTTCAGTTTATCGCTTATTCTTTATGTTGTATATTTCTTCTAGCGCGATTCGAAGCTGTGTACAAGTTCGATATAGATGCGATTGTTAGCGGATGTCAATAACTAATGCAAAAAGTATCGCGAAACGCGACGTTCTCACGTGGAAAACGATTCTCTCGGGATCACACGATTTCTCTTGGAGTTCGCCGACGGACCGATTAAATAGAGCAAACAAGCTGAGAGAATCGGAAAAGATTCGCAAATCCGGTATCTGTGGGTAAACGAGAGTGTGAAAACAAGAAATTCAATGGCCTTCGATCGCTAACTGAGCCGTAGCGGTACCGGTACCGACGAAAAACTAAACCGCAATCATTGTAGCCGACGATCTGCGTAGGAGCTATTCGCAGAGACCTCGAAACTCTCTCTTCCCTTGAAGATTTATAAAAAAAAAATGTGCATCCGATAGTTTCTATAATAATCGGCTCGACACCTCTTTGTAAAACATTATTAACCAAATGATAATAATTTCTTTATAAAGAAATGATATCTAGCGTAGTTTTGTGCAGAGTACGCAGATTATTACGTGAAAATAACGAGTTCTGATCTGTAAGCATTTCCACTCAATCAGTAATCCGGTCATATTAATTATACGAACGTCACTTTAAAGTTGCAGTAATTAAAATCACCGTACATTGTGTTCATGAGCGCGCAGCTGATCCGTAAATGTAATAGAACATTAATAACTATGCAATATTAACAGGAATGATGGCAATCACTGACCAGCCACGTGTTGTAAAATCATCTCTAACGAACCGTGTGCTTTTTCACATAACTTTAGAAATTCAAGAGTATAAAAATTTGTGTTCATTATGTATATTATCTTGTATGATGATTACGTTGTGCCATTATTTGTTACACAGTCTACCAATAAGAAAGCGTAATTAAATCTTTACCATCAATGACATCGGACATAGTTTTTAATTAAATCGTTCTGATTACAATAGCAAAATTCTAAGTGAGCGCCTGCTATACCGATGAATTACATTTCTGCGCGTATTTTTCTAACCAACAGGTAATAAAGTCCGTCGTATTCAGGCGTGCCGGCAATACATAACGCCAAGGCGTAATGTAATACGGGAACAAAGCAGCGCGATGCTGGAGAAATATCGAGTGACTGCACGGGAATCTATATCAAAGTTCTTGGCTTCCAATATACACACACCGAGCCACCGATCGTGTATCACTAAGGCTCATTTTATTGGCTCTGGAGCTTTCCGGGACCAGTCCTCGATTCCTAGCACACACAAATGAAACGGAGGCTGTAGAAGTTTCTTCGTATGTGTGTAATCAAAATTTTCCATATACAAAGTTTAGATTCTTTTAATAGACATATCTGAATCCGAAAGAATTAATCTACATATTTCGTAAAATTGATAAATTACAATTATCACTGTTATTGCGTTATGAATAATGATATTCATTTAAGAACGTAAACATATTTTTTCTAATCGTTATGAAGATTTTTTTTTATGAGATCTGAGAAATAATAGAAATTGAATTGGCCATTTCAATTCAGACGATGAGATTTCAAGGATATCGTTAGCACGACAGTAGCCATTGAGACATGGGCACGTCCGTAATGAGAATGTAATGGCGACTCGACCGATGGGGATCGCATTTGTCCGGAAGTAGTCCGCAGCAGCTCGGCGCACAGCCAGGTCATCTTATTTTGCATCGACGTTTTTATATCGGCGGCTCGAATCGCTTAGGATTGATTAGGAAACACTATTGGCTTTCTCTCTTCGATTGTCAATTGAAATTGATGATAAAATCATAAATTCGATTTTATGGAACTTGGATGTAGCTCGACGAAATTACGTGCGAATCGTTGATTGACAGTCGTGAGCGCATCCTATCAAGTGACGCTTCATTGAGTAAGAGATTTATATTGAAACACTTCGAAGCAGATAAAAATAACGAAAAATAACGAATGCTCGATCTTCTTTCGGAATAGTCAAAATTACAAGCTTTGTTTTGATTTTTTGTTTAGCTTCCAGTAAATCTCGCAATTTTTTATGTAATATATTGGATATAAAGGAAAAGTTATGCGGGATATAGACAATATAGAGGAACGCAATTACGTGGGACGAGATGTTGCATCTCTCGATTCGACGTATCCCAGAAGTACAGAACGGTGGCAATAAGCTCCAGTAATACAGTAGCCAGTTCCAGCGACGGTAGCAAAACCCGTAGCATTAGCAATAGCAGTAGCGGTAGCTAGTCGATTCGGGGGTGGTCCAGGCTGGACTCAGAGCCCTCGTATAGCTGTGGTCAGCAGGCGTGACGGCGTGTGTGCGTGTAGGGTAGTCATGGTGCTTTCGCCCTGGCAATGCCACCATGATCCCAACGACTATCCCCCTGACTACCGGCCGCGCCACGGGGATGCGACCATAAACGCGAGAGCGAATTGATTTGCGACCGGAAAGCGCGTATCGTTTCCAGTAATGATCGCGGAGACCTCATTGTCTTCGTGCGACGGCGAGATCATCGAGTGAGCGATACGATATACGGTCAAACGGCAAAAAAACGTCGTGGTTCACGCCTCATAGATCGCGGTGTTACCGTAATTACGAAACCCCTCGGATGGAAATGCGAACGCGCGAGCGATGTCGATAGCGATGACTCGTTGTCGTTTAATTCATTCCTTCAAATTAGCTTTATAACGAACGGAGGAGATGTCGAAATCATAGAATACAATTGTAGTCGGAGAACTTGAGTGTATAAATAAAATAATTCCTAGGAATAATATAATATAATATTTCTAGTAATAAATCTAGGAATTATTTTATTTATAACGAATAATCACTCGTTCATTCCAACAGAAATGTATTAATCAGAGCAAGTGTTAAATAGTAAAGAGTATATTCAGCCAGATTGTTGTAAGAACTAGCTAATTTAATCCTGAAGGTTCTTCGAAAACAACGGTGATCATCGAATCATCGGTGCACTGGCACGAACAGAAAAACATATGTCGCGACGCAGAACCCTCCATTATGATATTGGCTCCAACTTATCGCATTAGGCAGCTTTAACGCGCGAAAATGAAGCCTGCGAACGCGGCGCTATAGAACAGACACGAGTGGCAGCGGGGTGTAAACTAATAATAATGAATGCTTTCGCAACATTGACCCTGGAATATTTCTCGATGCTGCGAAAATGATTAACTAGCAGAAATATTAAAGTTCGCGTTATGTTCCCGACGTATTCTATCTACCGTCGCGTGCATCATTATGTCACTATACGACTATCAGACATCATAGATTTATACGTATATCAAATAGAAAGGTATGTTAAGTACACAAGTAAATGTGCAATAAATCATTACTTTTAAAACTACTAAAGCGTGAGAGACAAGTCGCTCTCTCAACAGAAAGTCTCGTCGACAAACGGTACGACATTCTTTCACGGAATCTGTCAAGTGGAATAATTCCGTGGCGATAGATCGCTCAAGAGAAGATTTACATTGGCATTTGCGATCCGTTCTACCAGCTTCTCTTAACGATCGTGGATCTAGCACGCGCGTGAAGCCTGATTCACACGCAAATCGCGTTTAACACTGTGATTTCACGGCGGATCGTTCATGGCTGATACATATAAACCTTTTAAATCCGTACGCGACACTAACACAGCTTTTAAAATCGAGACAGTGTGACGATACTGATGCGTGTTTTT